CTGATATTTATTAAAGAATTTTGCACGAAATACAAACTTTTTCATTCTTCATTACTCCTCAACGTGCACACATCTCTACACCCTCTATCAATTAATCATCTTACAAACAATATCTTGGGGGGTTTGAAAGTTTCTTGGATACCTATGCCTCATTTTTGGATCTTACTAAGGCGTTCGATTGTGTAACACATAGTATTCTCTTAGAAAAACTAAACTACTATAATTTTCATAACAGTGCGGTATTGTTAGTAAAATCATACCTTTCAAACAGATCGCAATATGTTTCTATAAACCAGGATTGTTCATCTAAGCTGTCCCTGAAGTATGGAGTACCACAGGGTTCAGTACTGGGACCCATATTATTTCTTGTGTACATAAATGATCTTGCTTCCACCCAGAACACAGCTGGTACTGTTTTGTTTGCCGACGATACTACTTATTACCAGAGCTATCATCCATCTGAAATACATGACCTGGGTCTTGAGAATACTGAGAGTAAACTTATGGAATGGTTCCTATCCAACAAACTATCCCTCAATGACTCCAAATCGCAGTCGATGAATTTGACGCTGAGAAACACACAAACTCACCACCCACTTTTAGCAGACTGTGTTGAGGAGGTTAAATTTCTTGGGGTTTATCTGGATCCGGGCCTGACTTGGGAAAATCATATAGTCCATTTATCTAGGAAGTTGTCTAAATATCTGTTCTTGTTTCGTAATCTGGTGAAGGTCACCTCCAGGCAAACTGTTCTGATGGCGTATCATGGATATTTTCACTCAAACTTGTCTTATGCCATTTTATCATGGGGTCATTCATGTCATATAGATAAGGCTTTTGGACATCAGCGTAAATGTGTCCGTATTATATGTGGCTTGGGCTACAGAGAGGATTGTCGCCAGTATTTTGTGACTTTGAATATTCTCACTTTGCCATGTATCTATGTGTTGGAGTGTCTGTTGTATGTAAAGCAAAATGTCCATCTTTATAAATTGCACCTGGATCAACATAATTATCCTACCAGAAATAATGACAAACTTTTTCCGGGCTTTGGCCGACTTGGGAGAACTAGAAATGGCACCAGGTATTTCGCAATGAAATTTTTCAATTTATTACCACCAAATATAAGAATTCTCGGCATCAGCCAGTTCAAGGTGAGAGTAAAGACTTTTTTGATAAAAAATGCTTTCTACTCATATGAGGAGTATTTTGCTTCTGATTTTAATATGTAACCATATGTTTTCTATTTTATTATGTAACCATTTTTGTTATATTTTTTGTGTGACCATGACCATGTATTCTATTTTATTACTTAGATGTTTAGATTAGAAGTTGTCATTTTAACATGTGTGTAAAGATGGATTATGTAATATCAATTGTTAGCTATTAGTGAAAATATAATAATAATAACTATAATTGTGAACGTATAAATATACTATATATAATACTTGGGTAATGTTGAGAAATTTTCCGACATTCACCCTCACATTTACCTAACTGTACTTTTGTCTTGACTTGTAAAAATGTGTTTTATACATATGTTATTACCAATAAATTATCTTATCTTATCTTATCTTACAATTCAAATTTGAAAGTTTTATAATTTTTTTCCCTCTACAACATGGCATCTCCAAATTTTGAATTCGACGTTTCGTAATCTAAGTACCATCATCAACTTCATTTTTTTAAATACGTACCTGAATTTTTTATGTCATTATTAGAAAGTGCCCTTTATTCCCTTTCTAAAAATGACATAAAAAATCCAGGTCCGTATTTAAAAAAATAAAGTTGATGATGGTAGCTCGATCACGAAACGTCAGATTCAAAATTTAAAGATGCCATGTTGTAGAGCAAAAAAAAAAAATAAAACTTTCAAATTTAAATTTTGTCTCGAATATCAATAGTTTTCGAAATAATTGATGAAATAGTTTTGGGCATTTTTTTGAAAACACCCTGTATTTCATGAACTAAAAGGAATTGGGCAACACTGTAAACAAGTCTTGAATGAGCATCAAAAAAGGCAACTTTTTTCTAATTTACCCGACCTTATAGCTTCTACCGTTTGGGATATAGCAATAGTGGTATCACTTAAAATATACACCCTGTATAGATCCCGAAGTTTTTTTTCCATTCTGACACACCAACGTAAACGTAAAGCCAGCAGTCCCCTAATAATTAAAAATCTGTAACTCAGTTAATAATTAATCAATTCTATTTTTTCTTGGACTATTCAGGAGCACCTAAAAAGCACCTAATTCTGATACAAAGAAAAAAATTGAAAAAATATTTTTTACTATAGGGGACTGCTAGCTTTTATAAACCTCGCAGTCCCTTAGTTTTTTTCGATTTTCTCAGAAACTAAAGGAGCACCTAATTTTTAATTAGAGGCCCTAATTAGCACCTAAAAAGCACCTAATTATTATATAGTTCCCGAAGTTTTTTTCCACCTTGGGACTGCTAGGTTTATAGACCTCCCAAACTCCATAAGTACACTAAATTATTTTGAGATTTGGAGCCAGATTCTATGAAAAAAGGCACTCAGCGTCTACTGAGATAAGAGTCACTGAAAATTTCAGCTTTCTATCTCTAATAGAAAAAAAGTTATGAGCTTTCAAATTTTTCCAAAAACTAAATCATACCTTCTTACTAAAACGATAAAATTTCAATTTTTTTTGGTTTAGATTTTGTGTCCTACTGGCCCTTTGGGACCCCCTCAACTCCATACACTAAATTAATATTAGATTTGAAACCAAAATCTATGAAAAAAGGCACTCAGAATAATTGATAAATCACCCCGAATTGCTTAACACGACTTTATTTCCGGAACTAGAAGTCCAAATGAGCTGAAATTTTCAGGGATTGTAGTTCTCTGCTGTAATAAGGATCACTGAAAATTTCAGCTTTTTATCTTCAATAGAAAAAAAGTTATGACCTTCCAAAGTTTTCCAAAATCTAAATCATAATGTAGCTAAGTACCTCAGTACTAAAACGATGAAAATTCAACTTTTTTTTTTGTCGAGATTTTATGTCCTAATGGTCCTTTGGGATATCCCAATATCCATACACTAAATTATTTTGAGATTTGAAGCAAGATTCTATGAAAAAAGGCACTCAGAAAATTGAAAAATTGATTATTTTACCCCAAATTGCTTAACGCGATTATATTTCCAGAACTATAAGTCCAAATGAGCTGATACTTTCAGGGATTGTAGTCCTCTACTGAGATGAGAATCGCTGAAAATCTCAGCTTTCTATCTTAATAGAAAAAAAGTTATGAGCTTTCAAAATTTTACAAAATCTAAATCACTAAAACGATGAAATTTCATTTTTTTTTTAACAAGATTTTGTGTTCTAATAGTCATTTGGGTTCTCCCGAACTCCATATACCATACGCCAGTTGAAAAATTGATAAATCACCCCAAATTGCTTAACACGATTTTACTCCTGAAACTATAAGTCCAAATGAGCTGAAACTTCTAGGGATTGTAGTCCTCTACCATATAAGTATCGCTGAAAATTTCAGTTAAGAAACTTATCAAATCAATGAATATAAGGCCAATTCGCATAACACCTAAATTATTATTTGTTGAATAATTCTAATTTATAATTTTGGCATATCTATTTTCCACTTGGTATCCTGAATCACAAAAAAATATTGATTATAGGTACTCTAGGACTAAAGTGTAAAGTGTCTTTCAATTCCTCTAGTTTTGAAGAGACTAATAATGTTCCACTATACTTAATATCTTAGTGTTACACACTGTTCCTTATAGCAGAAAATGTCATTGAAGAAATTGCAGAAATAAATTGCCTAGTCATTGAGTTTTTTCCATCAAGAATTAATCTTATCATTTGTCATGACTGTTTCACAATAAAAATGCTGATAACAAGTAATGAATATTGGTGAGAAAATTATTTAGTTAGCGGGTTTGTATAACTAATATTTTAGGTATTCACACTATTTGTCATGATTTCTGTATAAGAAGCTTGGGTTTTTGTATCCTCTACCGATTGTGAAACCATTTCAAAGGATTATTCTAGAACACTTAAAGTCCCTGCTAATAGATGGTAGTGGTACCTGGTACCCCATCCAAAAAATGTATTGGGGAAAAACAATAAGATAGAAATCTTCCTTTATTGATTTTTCAGATATTTTCAACCCCTAAGTAATCATCTACCCACACAAAATGATTTAGGAAACAAGATAATAACCAAGATAGTACCTATACTTATCAGAAATTTTTTGCTGATTTTATTTTTAAAATATTTAAGTAACCTGAAGATGCTTGCAAAAAAAGCTGATTTGGTAAATTTGATATGATGTAAACAATACCCATGTTATCTTTAAAAAAAAGTTGTTTTGACTTAAAATTAAGACAGATATTTTTTGTTCCCTAGGCTATTTGATGAGTGTATTTTGAGAAAAAAAAAAATAAGAAATACTTTGTTGATTCCCTGCTAAAAGATGCTAGTGATCCCCCATTCAAAATCTCAAGAAAATAATTGAAATAGCTTTTCTTGTCTTTTTTATGAAGAAATTGGTTCTAAATTTAGATTTTACGTCATTATTTCATTAGTTTTTTAGTTATATTATAATTATAATATTAAATGAGCATGCTCTGCAGTCCCTTATAAACCATAGTTGAAGTAAAAGTTAATTTAAATAAGTAAAGAATGTTTTGCTCCACACTAGAATACTGAGTAGGTGAGCTATGCAAACTCAAATGTATCGATTCCCAAGTTTTTCTTGATCCATTGATTCTCAAATGTTGTATTTGATGTATTTTTTTCAATAATCTATTATTTCGCCCACCTTCAGTAGCAAGTAATTATACATATTGATGACCTGAGAAAAAATTTGTAAGATTCATCTTCTAAAAATATGCCTGACTAATAAAATTATTGGACTATTACTTATGTAGGTACTAATTAAACATCCAATTGTTTAATTTCCTAAACCTGGTTTCCTGTCATCAAATTAACATTAATTTATATTAAAGAAAATTCAACGGACCTCAGGCTGAATATGTAACAGCATTGGTTGGGCAAGTGGTGAACATCCAATGTAATGAAGGAAAGCACAACCATGGAAGTTCCAAAGTTAAACTTGTAGACAAAACCGATTATAATTGGGAGTTCAAGTACTATCATGGACGTCTTGTTGCTGCCCATGTTAGTGGGAAAATTTATGCCTATGCCATTAAAGGTATATTTTTTATTTCATAAGTTTATTTAAACTGATCAATCCATTTTTCTCCAGGCAAAGATGGTGGTCTCATAAGAATTGTTCATCAAGATTCCAGTATTAAAAGTGTTTTGATTAAAAATCTAAAGGAGGAAATTAAAGATTTATCATTTGCCTGTTCCACTAAGGAAGTAATCTTGGGCAGTGTTGACTGTAAAGGAAACCTTTTTGTGTACCAAATTGATAAATTCACTAAGGAATTAAAGTATGCGTATTTTTTATATATACATTACTAGCAAAATAATTGTTTCCTTGATTCAGTTCCAAACTCTTGCTGCGAGTTATACGAGAAGAAGAATCAGTGAGACCCAAAACTAACTTTAGATTAAGTTGGTGCCCATTTGTACCAAATTCTGATGAAGACTTGGACGGGTCTGAGAAGACGTTTGTTGTGCTCAATGGCTGGAAAGGCAAGCATATTTCTTTATTGTTAGTTATTTTGAATTTATGTTTGGTTTTTAGCTGAAATTTATAGCTTAGCAAGACTGACTGCTAAATATGGATCATTAGGTGTCTTACAGCCTGATAGTTCCTATGAGGGCTACACAGAAATCAAGCATAATTCAAATTTAGTTGATGCTTCATTTTCTTCTGATGCTTGTGCTATTGCACTAGCCTATCAGGATGGATATGTCAAATTTTTCCAGCTTTTCATGTATGATCATGATATTCAAAAATGTTTACACGAATGGATGCCTCATGAAGGCAAACCTATAAGTTCCATCAATTTTCTTGATGACATTATAGAATACACATCACAGTAAGTACTTATTACTATTTTTTTTTTTGTCAGTGGGTTAATACCAATAAATTTTTTATTAGCTGCTGGAAGTTTGCAATAACTGGAGCCAATTACAACACCGAAATTAAATTATGGTCTTGCGAAACATGGACTTGCATGCAAACAATCAATTTTCTTCCAAATCCAAATAGTGTTACACCAGATTTATACCTAAATATCTGCTCTGATAACAGAGGAAATTATCTCATAGTTTCTGATGTCAATAACCGAGGAATATATACTATAGAGTTACACAAGTCAGTAGAATTTTTTTAATGTGTTATGTATTATATAATGTAGAATTAATAATTCCAGAAATGAAAAAGAACAACTAGTTAATGCATCTCAGTTGGCACACTTTTTAGTTCCTGCACCTTTTTTGAGTTACGTCCCACTAGAAGCCGGTTGCAGGAACGTTCCTTTTTGTTTCAATAGTAGCACTGAAGATTTGTATGACAACGAGGATGACTTTGATGATGAAGCAGAAATTTGCGTTCAAAGTTTGAAATTACTAGTAATACAGCCAAAAAAATTCCAAGAATGTAACATCACTTTTCAACCAGAAGCATTAATGCATGATGGTTTAGTGGTTACCCAGACAGTTGTTGAAAAATTAATTGACATAAAAAACGGCGAAGCTGAACCACATGAAGATGCAGTGAAAATAATTCCCGAACTTGACGATTTACAAAATTCTGTTACTCTGTTGATTCAGCAGCAGCAGCAGCAACATGGTAATTCAAAATTGACTTTGATGACTCCTGATGATTTTACTTCTCCTAGTAAAAATTCAAAAGCCAGCAGGTAATCATGATTAAACTTCTAAAACATGGGACATCATTTTCCATAACATATCTGGATTATTGAATGAATTTATTGGTAATTCTTCTAGAGTTGTGGTGAGACTTTTACACCATGTCTTTTTAGAAAGAAATTCATTGTGTTTGTTAGTTTTCAAATATAGAACTTTTTTTAGTTAGTTCTAAATGTTCTGGGTATTTATTTTGAGAGGGTAACTTTGATATGTGAGTTATTAGCTTTAGTAATGGAAAAAGTAACTCATTTTAACATTCACAATAGCTGATGTATGATTGTCTGTCTTTAAATTTGTTAAGCATAAACAAATAATTACCTACTCCACCCTACATTATTTATTTATTTCAGTATCAGAAATTCCATTACAAATGAAAATAGTCCGCCTGTTGACAAACCCTCCGAGTCTGCTAATGCAACAGAGTTCCCAAGGTCCCAAAAAGATAACTTCACTAGTGCCGGATCAAGCCCCAGCAGGGAAGTTCAAGAAATATTATCTTTAAACAACTCAACCTCTGGATATCCTCAAGAATTTTACAGCGATTTGGAGAATCTACAAATAAAAGTACATATAACTAAGTACTAAACAACATTTTATTTACTTTTGTCATTATTTCAGCAAGAAGAAAAGGAAGAATCACCAGAAAAAGATTATTCAGCGGTTAATGAAAATAGCATTATCTTTCAGGACAAAGTTAATTGGTCCAAAATGCCAAAAGAGAACAATGATATTAACAAACAGGATTTGGAAACTGTGTACCTTCGAATGAATAGTTTGGAGACTGCGATTAAAGAACAGTCAATACTAATGCAACAATTGCACGAAGACATGAAACAATTGAATAAATCTGCAGTTGCCAATAGCGTAAGAAATAGTATTAAAAAAGAACCAGATGATTTAGGTAAGGAATTGGATGCTGCCATGTCAAAACAACACAAGAAAATAGCTATAATGTTGGATAATTTGGTACAATTACAAACCAATAGTGATAGAGAAATCTACGAAAACGTACTCACTGCCATGAATCAGCTAGTAACCAAATCCTTTTCTGAAAAAGTGCCTCAGTTGTTACAACAAGAAATCAAACAATCAATTCTGCCAAGTATTCATCAAGCGATGGAGACTTATAGGATACAAATTGAGGCCCAATATCAGCAGAAGTTTGCCAACGTTCAAGCCATTGTAATGGAAAATTTCGATAAAGCCCTCAGCAAGAAAGCAACTGCAGATGCCATTAGTGTACATGTTGCCAAACAAATAATTCCTAATTTGGAGAAATCTTATCGCGAGATAATCACCCAATCATTGGTGCCATCGTGGGAAAGAATTGGAGCCCAAATATTCCATCAAATCAGCGATACATTCACTAAAGGGACTAAAGAATGTAGGTGTTCCTTTAATTTAGATAATTATTTTTCTTATTATAAAATATTGCAGATACTGCCTCGGTGGAAAGTTACATGGAAAGACAGAGAAAAGTGCAAGATAAAGGAAAAGAAGTGGTGTCACAAATGCAAATCGTTTCCGATAATTTGAAAGGGAATAGCGAGAAAATAAATGAAATAGTGACTTCTGAAATCCATAAACATTTTGCAGTGTTTAAAAAGTAAGTAGCAACATTTTTCATATAAGAATAACTAAAAGAAGTTGAGGAAAGGTAGTAAAATTCTAATTGTAATATACCTTGGGTATTTAACCATTTTTCAATATATTTGGTAATTCATCAAAACTCTCTGATAATGATCAGTAGAATTCACTGACATTATAGATTTTTTGATTTACTCATTAATTTATCTTACAAGTGCAAAATAGGCTAAAAGCTTCGTGGTCGCAAGGAAGGAGACTAAAATACTCCATTCCCTCAGAAAAATCCAGTATTCCCTCTTTAAGGGTCCAATACTCCAAGAATTATACTCTTTTCCGTCTTTAAACAGGCTTGATGGTCACTAAGCCTTGAACTTTTGATATAACAGACAGCAATGAAATTGTCCTGTAGTTTGTAACAAGAGTTTCTTCCTCTTTTTCAAATACTGGCGTTATGAGAATTTTCTTTCAGAACTGGTGGACCTGAGCAAAAAAATGTGTTTAAATCTTCAGGCAATATGTTACAGTTTTTGTTATTTTATTTTTCCTGTTTGGGTTAGTCTACTACCATGAGTTATTGGTCCAAAATCATTTTTTCAATGTTTGGCCAAAGTGAAGGTTCAAAGTTATCACTGAAAAAGGTTCAGATATAAAATTTATTGTGTGGATAAATGCATATGACTCGTAAATGTTATTCCTGAATGATATATTATCATTATGATGAAGCAGGAAGCAGGGATTTACCTTCATCTGCAACCAACAAGCTCTTGGAGTCTGATCTTGTCTCTTTTCAGATATTTGAGCTTTTTTTAAAAAACTTTTTTATCAATACAATATCAATTCTCTCTTGCTATTTTTCTGCTATGTTCTTTATTGACAACTGCAGTGAATTTATATTGTTCAATTTTTCAGCATCCAAGACAAAATAGTGCACAACATCAAAGAAACGCTCAGCCAGGAGATGAAAATGGGCTTTCAGCGTCACGCTCAAGTTATCGAAGAAGGGGTTCTCAATGCTGTAAGCCGCTCTCGGGCCGTAACTCCTGCTCCGCATGGTGATACTCATGTACGTTTGCCATTTAGTCGCAACACGCTTTGTCTTAATCAAAAGTAACTTACTTGGCTTCTTAGATTTATTTATTTTTTTTTGTTATAATTGATTAGAATTGTTTATTATTTTATTTTGTTCGGTTATGATTGGTTAGAATTATTGATATATTTTTTTTTATTTGATGATGAGAAATTAAAACTTTTTTGAATTGGATCTATTGATTTTTTTAGTTAAAAAATTAAGAATTTTTACTTTTTTGTCTTTACTATAATTAGGAGTCTCAAAATCATAGGAGCGAAAATATTTTTATGTCCGTCTTATTTGTTCTTTTGTACCTGGAAACAGGGTTGAATTTGTATGTAGGTATTTTAATATTTTTTCTGGATTTGCTCTAGCAGTATGTGAATGTTAAATTGCCATCTAGTGAGGAATTTTATTATTATTTATTAGTTATTTCTTATCTATGGCTGATCAAAGTCCTTACAATCACCTCGCCACTTTATCTGCCCATCTTCCAATTATTTTTCAGTGTTTATAACTTTCATAATTTAGTGTATTGGTGTGACATATTTGCTTTGCTTATAGTATATGTATAGATAAGTAGTGAATATTTTCTTTCTTCAACATGACAAATTAATTTTGTTATTCTTTAGCATCAAGCAATAGCTGCAGTTCAGCAAGCGTTAGCAAAACGAGCCTACGACGAAGCTTTCCAAGTGGCTCTGTCAGCTGAAAATCTCAGCCTTGTGATGTTTGTATGTGAACGAGTCGATGTCAATAATATTTTTGGGGAGGAATGTTTGCTGTCACAGAGCGTTTTATTGGCTTTGATACAGCAACTGAGCATGGAACTTCATAAAAATCCAGAGATTAAGCTGTGGTAAATTAATTTGGTATACATTTTTGCGAGGGGTTAATCACTCCCCAAAATCGTATCACAAATTTGTCCGAAATACTACCGGAATCCCCGAAATCCTTCCGAAATCCCCGAAATCCTTCCAAAATCCACGAAATCACTCCGAAATCCGCCGAAATCCCTCCGAAATCTCTCAGAAATCTTTCCGCAGACCCAAAAATCCCTCGCAATTGGCCCAAAATTCATAAATTGGTCAACGCGGCCGTTTTTCAGTTTATACAAATACACTTTCGAATATACTTATAAGATAAGTAACAGTCGAAAATCAAATTAAAATATTTGCGAAATCATCCGTGAAATCACCCTCAAAATCGCTCCAAATCTAAAATCTTGTCACAGTGAATAATCGCTCGAAATCCTACCAAAATCCTACCGAAATCCTCCAAAATCACCCGAAATCCCTCAAAATCGCTCTAAATCCGAAATCTTGTCACATTCTTCCCTTAGTGAATAACCCCTCGCATTTTTGGTAAAAAGTAGTTACTAATCTTTGATCCAAATTTATTATATCAATAGATCAATAAATGCGAATTTTTCTTAAAATTGGTAATAATAGTTCAACTTAAATCAAGAATGCGCCTGAGATGCCAATTTTTCCACATTATTGATTTTTTTTTCTTCCTTTAGTTTCATTCGAGCAGCCTTCCTGGGTTTATTACCGGACCTGCCTCAAACAAGAATATACATCCCAAGAATCCTGAAGGAATTGACAAAGCAATTAAGCGGATTTATGGATACTAATCCTCCACTAAAACAAATGACTGATGCCAGGCTATTGAAAATGGCAGCGGATAATATGTTGAGTCGGACTCGACAGACCGAATGATCTGATAAAAAATGTCAATCATAAATAAGGCAGTAATAATGTTTGAGAATTTGATTTTATTTTTTTTATATGAAAGTTTTGATTTTTGTTTTTTTTTTATACACTTTGATTTACGTAGCCCGTGCATTAGAAGTTGTCCACTTTGCAAGTGGATTAATAGACACAGCATCTAATACACGGGCTACGTAAATCACTCTGTATACATCTAAATCCATTATTACTGTGCATTAGTTTTAAGATGAACAAAGTGATCTGCAGAACAGTAACATTGTTAATTAGTATTAAGGTTAGTTTTAACCTAAGCATTTCTCTTTAGTTTTTATGTTTAACTGTTAATTTGTTCTGTTAAGACTGTGGTAATACACTATTTCTTTTATTAACTTTTTTTTTTTTGGTAACACTCCCCTCACATTATGCCTTTGTATTCACAACTATTGTCACAATCTCTTTGTGACGGGAAGTATAAAAATACTCGTAGGCGGAGTCGGCACTGTAAAAGTGTATATTATACAAAAGCGCGCCCTGATAAAGTCCAACAATAGTATATTGTTGTATTAGGAGTAGAAGCTTTACTTTTTTGTGCTGAAGCGGTAGGTTTGCAAGCCGAACGTAGTGAGGCTTTCAATACTGCTGAAGCACAAAAAAGTGCTTCTACTCCGTATGCAACACACTATTTTTTCTCCAAACGAATGGGGTAACCTCGGGGGCAAGTGGATGGTTGAGTGGCAGTAAAAGTACGAGCGGCACTAAAAGTACTTTTGCTGCCGCTGGGGTTGCCAAGCAGCATAGAAATTAAATTTCTACCACCTCGACAGGTGTTAACTCGCTGGATTTGCCTAGCAGCATAGAAATCAAATTTCTGACATCTTGACAGGAGTTAACAAAGTGACGTTTTTCTGACGTTTGGAGAAAAATACCATTTTAAAGTCACGTGATTTTTCTCTATCCTTGTTGAATACATCTCAAACAGCGGTGATAGTTTGTCAAAGTTATTTTCGAAAATGATACAACGAACAAACAGCTAATAATTTTGACTATATTAACCTTTTTCCAACTCGAAAAGAAGCAAACAGAAAACGAGTGTACCCAATTCAAGTTCAGAATGTATTACAAAGGGCAGCAGAAGCGACAAAAGTGAGTCTCGCAACAATTGCAAGTATTAAAATTCCCATCTGATTGGTCAATACTACTTCAGAAACGCGTTTGTAAAATGCTAGTGGGAACATATCTTAAAATTCAATAGTAATTAACCACCAGTAGCTTTTTGTAGGGTAGGTGATATCAACGACATAATCAATGAACATACGTTTTTTGCTACCAATATCACGTGACTTTAAAATTAGGCAATTCAATCCATCTGTCAAAAAGGAAAATTCAATATGGCGTGGCGCGGCCAAGCAAGTTTGTTTTTAATATGTTTTTATGCGTATTTTAAATTATTCTACTTAAAGTTTTGTTTGCAACTTTGATTTTGATTATTTAATAAAATATTTGTTGATTAGGTACCTAAACTATTAAATCGGACAGAAACTAAATATTTTTTTGTGTTTTTTGGCCCATGTGTGGCCGCCATGCCATCTTGAATGTCACGTTGTTTGAATTGCCTAATGGTATTTGTCGGACCCATTGAACTATAGCTAAAAACTAAAGTTCATTGGTCGGACCTCTATGGGTCGGACCATGGGCGCCGCCAGCCAGCGGGACAGGGCCAGGGGGGGCAAGGCACGGGGGGTCCTGTCTCCGTACATACGCCACTGGTGTAAATTTTCGTAAATGTGAAGGTCATTTTTATGTATGTATAAAATGTATGCTCTTTTGTGGATTTCTATTGACATATGTTTCAGTGTTCTATATTTTATTTAAAAAAAAATGAGAAAATTTTTGGATTAATTTTCTCAGCTATTCCATCCACAGACGCGTTTCGACCTATCAGGTCTCATCAGTATGGCTAGGAAAGCAAAGAAAAACAATCCAAGTTTAGTGCCTGTAGGCTAAATAGTGGATAACAGGAGAAAACTTGTTTTCCCTATTCTGGGTTTTCCCAACCATCTGATTTTTGGTCGGTCTATTAGATGGTCATCACTAAATACAGCAAAAGTGCTATTTAGTGATGAATACTAGTCTTAGATTGCGCCAAGATCAAATTTCGCTCGTCGTACGTACTACTTCTATTTTGCCTACAGGCACTAAACTTGGATTGGTTTTCTTTGCCTTCCTAAGTTCCTAGCCACATAGAGAAATATAATAAACCAAGGTGAGAGTTACCGATTCTGTGGTGCGACACTGGCATCGCGATGACGTCATATCGATACTAGCGCCACTATCCACTACAAGACAAACTTAAATAATATTTGGCGGGCTTTTTGAACTAAAGTTTTGTTATTTTTGAAGGTAGAAATTTAGCCCAGCGTTTTTCCGCAGTCGACAGAAAAAAAACTGGAAAAACGCTGGCCTGGAAACAAAAATAAATAATCAAAAAATGTTCATGAAGTAATCGATATATTTTGATCTTAGACAATTAACAAAGAATAATAAAAATTAAATTATACATAAATATACCGAGCTTTTCACTAATGATAGGTTAGTATTTAATAATTATCATTATTTATGTATGAACTTAACGATTTTCACATTGTAAATTTCACCAAAATCATGCATTTATATGGCGTTTCCGATTGGTAGATTCAGTGCGCACTGAGTGTATTTGCATCCTTTTAAATGACCTGTAGAAAAAAAAGACAGAAATAGAAAAAATTGCACTAGTTCCGCACTAGATCTACCAATCGGAAACGCTATTAATAAACTAATTAATTTTAGGTTCATTTTATTTCTGTCAGTTTTGAAAAAAGAAAATGTCATTTTATAGGTTAGAAATAGCAATGTAACCCTATGTCCTCTCTTCCTTTATTATCACATCTGTTAAAAAGAGACATATAATAATGGGAGGCGATGTCAGAATTGTCATATAGTTCCAAGCTATACTAGTGCCACCATGAGCTACAAGAAATACGTTGCCACTTGGCTTGGCGCATATGAATCGGTAACTCTTACCTTGGTTTATTATATTTCTATATGCCTAGCCATACTGACGAGTCCTGATAGGTCGAAACACGTCTGTGGATGGAATAGCAGAGAAAATTAATCCAAAAATTTTCTCAACAGTGGATAATAGGAGAAAACTTGTTTTCCCTATTCTGGGTTTTCCCAACTATCTGATTTTTGGTCGGCCTATTAGATGGTCATCACTAAATACAGCAAAAGTGCTATTTAGTGTTGAATCCTAGTCTAAGATGGAACCACAATCAAATTTCGCTCGTCATACTATTTTATAATAAATAAATATATTTTGATTTTGCTGTATTGTATAATTCAACTTTCTGAATCCAGGGGGGGGGCAAATGCCCGATTTGCCCCCCCCTTGCCGGCGCCCATGTGTCGGACCTTACCAGCCCAATGTCTTCGACCCGTCCCTGTCCGGTCCGGTCCGGTCCTATACCTTGTTCTGTGGTCCTTCTTTATATTCTTTGTAGGACCATAGTTTCTAGGTTGGCAAATTCGAATGACCAGATAATGTTTTCTTCATACCAAGATTTTCACAAACAGCTCAGAGAGGACAATAATTCTTGTGAGAGTTCACTTATGGGATATTTTGACATTGTATTTAATTGTAATGTTAATTTGTCTGTTGTTAGAGTATTGTTAAATGCTTTGCTTAAATACTCCACATGTAGGTACATTACATATTTTTACTGTAATTGGGTTTTTGCCCGTTGAATTAATTAATAGATAAATAAATAAAATTGTCCATTTCCATATAATGTTTTCCTTATACTACGAGAGCCCGTGACACAAAAGCCTCAGTCATCTGTTAGAAGGCCGTATTTCGTGCGAATAAATAATATCGATCTAGTGTCCCTACTGAGGCCTGAACAGGAGCGGTTGGCGGGCCTTCCCCCTCCCTTCACCATGTCTGCCACGTTTTAAGTAAAGTTCGCAAGGGAAGGTCCTACCCCACAAGTTAGAAGGACGAAAAAAAGTGGAAATTATAAATTTTCACTTCCTCGTCCTTTCTGCTATGGGTTGGCAGCCGGTTGGCGCTCTATTGTTAATTTAAACATATGTTATTTTTTCTAATTTTGACATTTAAAGTGACACTTTTCAAAATTCGTTGACGTTATCAAATGCCTTACTTTTCATCATTAGTTACAAAAAATACAGGAACAAAATCTGTGATACTTTTGGGGCTGAACTACTTGAAGTAACTTATTGTTATTATATTCTTTGTAACGTACATATTATGAAGATTTTATGTTATTCAAATTAGTTACATAAAATGACAATGCGAGTGACAATGTATGGAAAAAAAAACTAATTAGTTATAAATATTAATACTTGACACAATTTGAACAATTATTGATGATATCGACAACATAGTTTTCTGTGTAAATGAATGAATTGAATGTTTTTTTTAATTTTTATTTTATTCATGTAAAAACTTCCACTATGTCTTTGAATTATAGCGAGGGAAAAACCAACTTCAATTTCGCAAAAACATGTTTAAATAAACAATAGAGCGCCAACCGGCTGCCAACCCAGAGCAGAAAGGACGAGGAAGTGAAAATGTATAATTTCCACTTTTGTTCGTCCTTCTGACTTGTGGGGTAGGACCTTCCCGTGTGAACCTTACTTAAAACGTGGTGGACATGGTGAAGGGAAGGGGAAGGCCCGCCAACCGCTCCTGTTCAAGCCTCAGTAGGTTCATATTATTTATTCGCACTAAAAAACGACCTTCTAACAGATGACTGAGGCTTTTGTGTCACTGGCTCTTAGACTATTTAGCCTTCTAATGTTGTGTGAATATGATTCCGATGCGTAAAAAGCATTCACCGAAATATGCAGAATATCTAAATTAAAATGGAAAATGTGTCAATTAAGGTGGGTTTATACAGCACATAACATAACATAAGAAATAAGATAAAATAAGACATAACATAATATAAGAAATAAGAATTTTGAGGCGTTTATACAGAAAATAACATAACATAAGAAATAATTTCTAACCAATCAGCTGGTACGTGTACTTATGTAAATTCTACCGAAAACACTATATTTGATCAAAAAAATTATTAATTAATAATTTAGCAGAAACAGAAAATAAATATCGAATTCCAAAAAATTACCAATAGCTGAAAACAGAATCGAATTTTTTTTTTCTGGTTTGAATGTTTTGTTTACTACTCTGTGCCATTGCCGAAATCAAGGGAGGAGCATGCGCAGATCCGTTTTCACATAAAATAAGACTACAAGTTAAAAGTTAACCAACTTTCTTATTTCTTGTTATGTCTGTATAAACGCCATAAGGGGTTTCCATAAAGTCAACTTTTTATCTTATGTTATCTTATTTCTTATGTTATGTTATGTGGCTGTATAAACCCACCTTTACTTTACTTATATTTTACTTTCTTTTTCACAAACCAATGGAATTTCATAATCAATACCAATACAAAATTTGGTGGGTAATATATTATTTTCTGGTTTTTTAATAGACTTGTATTAATTTTATATGAGTATATGAGGCTAGGCTACCTTGATCCTTGATTATGAAAAATATGGTTTATTTTAAATTAAATATCCCCCATGATTTGTCGACAGGACCATAGAGACATGACAGATTTTCAAAAATACTGCTGGCGCCATCTCTGAGAAAACAACACTAAAAAACATCCTAAATATTTTGTGAATTCTTTAACCCCAAAAATTTCAGTCTACTATTTGCGTCTTTGTCTGTAGCGCCCTAATTGAAAAAGGACAGACATAAACGACATCATATCAATTTTGTTATGCTGAGTTCGACAAGGCGCCGTTGAAGAACCCAGGGTCGCCACCGTCGTAAATTCTAACTTGTTTAGAATCTTTTCCTTTTCCCATTTTCTCAGTCAGCAAATGGCGTCGAAAGTGGAAGTTCACGAAATTTTTTTCCGTGAATCATGACTGAAGCAGTTTACGTGTTTTTCGGGCCTTAATTTTTAGTGTTTACAAGTATTTTTTACTAAATCTATTGATAGGAAATTTATGTGCAGCCACACCTCGAACACCTTGCACGGAATTTGTGCTAAATCATCCAACAATAAGGGGACAATTTCAAGATAAAACAATGAACGAAGAAGTGGATGTAAAAACTCCTGAGGAGCGTCCTGCGTGGCCTCCTATCGAAGGAAACAGTGTCCAAGTAACGTCCCCACATCCGCATATGCCCATGCCAATGCCCACTACACCGCAAGGGCCCCCTGCGAATCAGGGCTTCGAATACGAACTGCCATTCGAACTGGCCCAACAAGGATGGAAAAAGTTTTGGTCTAAAAGGGAAAATCGTCCCTACTTTTGGAATAAATTGACTGGGGAGAGTCTGTGGGAGATGCCCCCTATTAAGCCTCAATTTCACCATGTAACTGATCCTTTGGGAATTTCCGCGGGCATTGCAATACCACCACCACCACAGGCTCCTCCACCAATACATGTTCCTGTGTCTGTACCGCTTCCAATTCCAATAGGTAATATTTGAGACTACAAATTGTTCCAGTCTCTCAACCCTAAACATCAGCTTTATGCTTTATCAGAATCCCAGAACAGAAACATTTCTTTAAAATTTGTAATAGTTTCTTTCTCTTTCTTTATCTACCCTAGGTAAATTTCTTTAGAAGGTATATAGTTAGAGGAAGTTATCATAGTTAAGAAGTAACAGCAGTTTTCCACAAAAACTTTTTGGTTTTGGGCCCAAAGAAAAGCAAGAACAACAAGTTTTCACTTGAAAAAACAACTTAGCTACCCCAGTTGGCACAAATCATCAATATTCAGGAATAAACTAACCAAAACCTTGGGTAGCTATGCGTTTTTTTTCAAATTATGAAGAAAATCTTAATAAGCCCTACACCCTACAAAGAAGAAACAAATCGCTTCTCCATTGAAAATCTGTGTTTCTGCACAAATGGCATAAGATGAGAGTATATCACTATTAGAACAGCTTCTACAACAAACTTCAATACATATCACAGGAATTTTCTAATAAATAAATATACTTTACACCATTCAAAAATCGCAATTTGGAGCCTGACCATTGCCCCCATATTAGGATTATTTTTACAGGTTGTTGCATTGCCTCATTCCTAAGAACTGTTCTGTTCTTTTCTTAACAAGTCTAGGATTCAGATTCACCATGCGTGTCCACTTTTGAGAGGTGATACTGTAGTAGTAAAAAATAAATTTTATTACCAAAGAATTATTTGTGCCAACTTTTTGTATCATTAAACCCTGTTTTGAAATCATGCTCTCTTTGTGACAATCCTTTACTAAAAATATTTGCCTCTCTATATTAACCATACTCAGTCTAGATTAAGTTTCTATGATGTTTCTACTGAAACAAACATTCAGGTGCCAGCTGCAGATATAAAATCCTTTATTTAGTCCGCAACTAATCATAAATCACGAGTTAAAAATTAAGTATCCATTTTATGTATTTTTGAATTGCTTGTGGTACCTACTTATTGGGTTAAGTGTTTCCTCAACTTTGTCCTGGATAAATACTTTTTGGCTTAAATGTCACTGATACCATTTAGCCCCAGCCCACGGATTCATGAAAAGATTACTTAACTAAATTTCAAAGTTTTCTTCATTCTAATAAAAATTACTATCATCAAATGCATATCTATTAATTAATGTTCCTTCTAGCAAGACTAAGTACCTACTAGTTTTTTATTAATCTAATATTGCCTTTTTGGCTTTGAGGAAGTCTTGAGCTCCTAGAATCGATGTAATAAAACCATTTCTCAATGCCCATTTTAAAGTGCAAAAAGTCGGGGAAGTAGCTATAGTTGATTAAAAATTTGCACCTGACTTACAAATAAACCACAGCATCATTTATTTATAAAAATACTCCTCATTTGCTTCAACATTACTTATTAGAAATTATATTGTTTACTTATATTTTTTTATTTCGACCAATTTCTTCTGGCAAAATTGCAAATATTTCAGCTACTTCTTCAAATAGAGTTCTTAGGACCAGCTAATGTTTTGCATTTATTTGTTCCTCAAGTAATTTACATCAATGTCATTAAATAAGTGATAAAATTACCTACATGCTAACTAACACAAAAATGTTAAAAGTCAGTTGAGTCAAACTGTTGTGCAAAAAACTTTCTATTGTCATAAAAAACAATATTTCCAAAATAAATCCTTCACAATATTCTTGAAATTTATTGCCATTAGGTGGTGTGGTGACTTTCAGGACATTTGGTTGTTATTCTGACTCTTAATTCAAGTCGCCACAGTTTCTGGATAGATGCCTAATCCAAGCATTCCGTAAAAATGACAAATTATTTATTAGTTATTATGAAATAATTCACAATTATTATTTTGTCACAGTCAGTAGCACAATATCAAAAAACCCCATTACAAAACTAATTCAAATTGCAATATGGTCAGCATACTAGGTTCTTTCTTAAAAGGGGACTGAATATTTTTAATCGACTTAATCGGCAAATTACTAAAAATTTATTGCTTTGTTGTTGCCTCTTTGTATATGATTTCTCTCATATTATCTATCAGTATATCCACGTATATCCAATGATTAGGCTAAAAATATTTACCTGTTTGGTTTATGATCAACATTCATTGAAGAAATTTTTCGAGCATTTATTATTATTATCATTATAAAGTATCCAGTTACGCATTGGTAATAGTTTCTGATATACAAGAGTTGTAATATTCCATGTTTGTATGTAAGTAGGTATATGAAATCCTCGATGAAATCTGATATTCTGGCAGATGGTTTTGGTGAGAGATTTATCGTTCGGTTATATACCTGATAAGAACCATGGTTTATTTATCATAATCTCCTAAGAGATCACACAATTTCACATATCTTCCTCTTTAAAAGAAGAACTGAGAGTTTATACTCCTAAATCAGGGCTTAAGAAAACGATGCAGAGGTTTTTTTTAGGAAAATGAGTATTTTGACCAATTTCCCATGTATTTATACCTAAAGGTATGTCTTCTGCAGTGTATTGGTCGAAAATCTGCAGTTTTGTATTAATGATTATCAGAAGAATAAGTACCTAATGAAGTATCTCTTGAGAATAGAATATGAGTTAGTACTAAGCATTATTATACAATTCGTTTCTAATGTTCTCCAAGAGATAGCGGGTAAAGCTTTACCCGCTATCTAAAGAAGAAAACGTAAAAAATCCAGCCATTATCCCCAATCCTGTTCTCCAAGAGCTTGACTTAAAACGTTGAATGTTGAATGAGATACTTAAGTATTTGTGAAATTGGTCTTGTAACTTACCTCAACCAAATCTTTGTGAGTAGGTACATACTTAATCTTCCACAAGCTATTAAATTTCCAAGAAAATTCATATTAAATGTCCATTTATTAGACTGTTACAAAAAACCTTTTATATTGAAATATACATATTTTCCCAATTTGAATGATTTGCAAGTACCAAAAAATGGCATATAATTACATATCTGGTAAGAATTTACCAATAAACCTTTCTCAGAAGCATTAGGTATACAGCTAAAATGGTATTACATTATTATAGAGCATTACTAATATCTAAAATTCAAGATTAACTTATTTGAAAAATATACCTAAGGCGAGATCTAAGGGATCCAGATTCAGAGTCGATTTTGACATCAAACTACAACTACCCTTTACTACACTTTAATCAAATAACTTTTGGGTCATTTTACCATTCAAACAAGATTTTATTCTCGATATTATCATTTTATGTAGATATCATGATATTTTTTCATTATAATCCAGGTAAAAGAAGAGCTTCTGAAGATATACAAGGGCCCCAAGCGAAGAAATTCATCCTGGCTGGTCCATGGGACTTAGAGATACCTACAAATGTGATAATATTTGAAAGGCCGCCCTGTATTTTCATGCATTCTCATCCCGAAATTGAGGCTTATAGGTACCTAATTAACTTGTTAATATGTTAAAAATCTACCTAATCACTTTTTTTTTGTAGATGTGCGTGGCTTGCCAAAGTGAGACAGTTATACCAAGAATTGTGCCACTCTAGAGAAGCAATTGAGGCTCCCAAAGATTCTTTTAACAGGTGGTTAATGGAGAGAAAAGTTATTGATACAGGTAGAATTTTTATGCTAAATAAATTAACGGTTAACATTTTGTTTTTTTTTAAGGATATGATCCCTTGCTACCAAGTAACTGTTATCCCGAAATATCCTTATCTATGTACAGAGAGATTATGAATGACATTCCCATTAAACTCGTAAGGCCAAAATTTACTGGGGACGCCAGAAAACAGCTGTCTAGATGGGCTGAGGCTGCAAAAAAGATTATGGAATCCAAAAATGCTGAAGCCGAAAGTAGGAAAGTAGTCAAATGGAATGTTGACGAAACGTTTCAATGGCTAAGAAAAACTGTAGGAGCCACTTACGATGATTTTCAAGTACTAGATTTGCTAATATTCATATTCAATTAGCTTTAACCAATTTTAATTTAGGATCGGCTAGCACATTTGAAACAACAGTGCCAACCACATCTGACGGAAACAGTTAGAGTATCAGTGGAAGGCATTTGCTTGAAATTATACCATTTATCCTGTGAATATGCGAAAAAAGTTAGAGAAAAATCCAATAACATTCTCAAGGAACATGCTATGGAATTGCCGCCTCATCCTTTTGCTTCTCAAGCCATTAGAAAGGTATATAGGTACTTTGATAATAATATATACTTTCTTAAATTTTTACATTGAATAAGTATCAAATTGAAAGGAACAATGTATTTGTAAATTAGGTATAGTACTAAATCTGTTATAAATGCCACAATTTTCAGTTTAAACAATGTTATTTTATGGGGTTCTAGGTTATAGGCCCTTATGTCGGTTGGAAAAATCATGAGTGAATTTGATACAGAACTTTTTTTTTCAATTTGTAGGTGTGGTGTTATCCTGTACAATTTGCCATAGGATGTCCCCGTTTACCTGGTGTGGATTACATAAATGATAGGGATCAAGCCATGCTTCGATATCAAGGCGACACTTTAGCCATCAATACATTGTACCTTCAAAAAATGGTAAAAAAGTCCTACACTTGTTAAATTATATTTTTAATTTGGAATTTTCAGGAACACTTGTATCGTCACAGCTGCTTTGACGATCGCAAATTTGAACTCTTCATCCCCCGAGTGTGGGTAATGTTGAAACGTTACGCCACCTTCTTGGGTGTAAATCCATCCCCGAATAATGCAAATCTTGACATCAGGGACACGCAACAATCTTTGCCTGTTACTGTGTTTGAATGTCTGAACCGAGCGTTCGGAGTTACTTTTGAATGCTTCGCCTCACCCTTGAATTGTTATTTCCGTCAATATTGTTCAGCTTTTGCCGATTGCGATTCATATTTTGGAAGTAGAGGGTAAGTTTGTAAATAAGGGCAAGATTTAACTGTTCTGAATAAAACTTTTAACAATGTATTGAATAAAATGTTGAAATAACATAATAAAGAAGAAATATTTTGGTTATCTTGAAAGTTGTCTATTAATTTATTGGAGAATTGGGATAAAATTTAAAATCTTACATGAATAGCAAGTTGTACGCTAGATATTGCGTTGTTGGCAATGTGCCATGATCAAACCAAGACTTAAATCCATAAAATTAGTCACTTGAAAAAATCGATTAAAAATGCAATAAAATGCAGAAATAGAACAAATTGTGTACAAATAAATGAGTCATTTAGAGTTTTCATTCATTTCAGTAAGTGATTATTATTAATTATAATTCTAGTCAAGTATAGTATATACATTTTGAAAGGAAATAGAAAAGGTTTCTAAATTTTCACAAGTAATATAAGTAAACTGCGGGAGATTGGCAGGGGTGTACGGGTGGGCCAATTTGGACACTTTTAATAGGAAATGTCAATTTCTGAGCAAGATACAAAAAAATGAACCCCTCACTCTGAGGCTTAAATTTCATGAAATTTTGATTGGTGCAAACCGCATTTTGATATCTTCAACCGTTTAGCCGCTAGAGGGCGATTGTCGATTTTGAGCAATACTGTGAAACCTTCATAATTTTTTTATTTATGAAAAGAATTAATTTCTGTAGACTTTCTGGAAGCACTTTTTTAAGTGGAATTCAGTGACGTTCTCAGCTTTTTTCTATTTGGCTCCGATTCCGAGATATTGACCAAAATCCGATTTTTTTCAATAGGACATCCTATATATTAATAGCTCATTGAAAAGCTCTGCTTTTGCTGATTTCAATAATATAACATTAGATAGGTTTATCTCCAACGGTTTCCGAGAAAAAAAATATTTCGATTTTTGTCATAAAACACAATGTGTTGGAAAAGGACTTTATATCTGTAAGGAAAACGAGAAAGATCTCTTTCCAACACATTGTCTCTTATGACAAAAACAGAAATAACTTTTTTTCTTGAAAACTGTCAGGGATAAACCTATTGAACTTTATATCATTAAAATCAGCAAAAGCAGAGCTCTCCAATAAGCTATAGGGTGTTCTATTGAAAAAAATCAAATTTTGGTCAATATCTCGAAATCGGAGTCAATTAGAGAAAAACTGAGAACGTCACAGAATTCTTCTTCAAAAAGTGCTTCAAGAAAATCCTTACGAAAATCAATTATTTTCATAAACAAAAAACTTATGACGGGTTCACAGTATTGCTCAAATTCGAGAATCGCCCTCTAGCGGCTAAACGGTTGAAGATATCAAAATACGGTTTGCACCAATCAAAATTTCATGAAATTTGAGCCTCAGAGTGGGGGGTTCATTTTTGTCTATCTCTGAAAATAAAGTGTGTTTCCATAAGAAAGTGACCACCCTGTACAGTGTAGCATTTACAGGGTGTTCATTTTAAAACTTAGCACCCCTATTATCTCGGAGGAGAAAATTTTTCAAGAAAATCCCTGAAAGACAACTATAGTTTGAGGGGGGAACCGAAATTCGTATACAGAGTGGTTCCGAAACCAGGGGCGGTTTTTTGACGGGTTGGAACAAACCTGTGATGAGGAATTGCAAGTCAACATCTTACATTTAATAGAACATGGTTCAGAGTAGTGGTCTTTGAATGAGATGAGCTCCACAATTTATTTTTGCAACAAAGATTTTGGATTTTATATTCAGATGAATATTCTTATTAGCAAATTGCGTAGTTTACACAAGAATCGACCAAAGCAAAATACTTTGAGCAGATTTCAAATTCATATTTCTGCTCATGGAAGACTGAGGCCAATGTACTGCACATACAGCCTCCGAAGATTCAAGTTTGGCCACATTTATAAAATGCTTTTCAGATTTATTTTAGAATAATTTTTTTTCTAGGCCATTTCTCCAGCTAAAAGCTGTTTCAGGATCATTCGAAGCAAATCCACCGTATTGCGAAGAACTAATGGAAGCTTCGGTGAATCACATGGAACGATTGTTGAACGACAGTCCTGAACCTTTAAGTTTTATCGTTTTGGTACCGGATTATCGGGAACCAACACCGAATGCTCTGGTTCGACTAGAATCCAGTCAGTTTAAAAGGAAGCAAGTTACAATACCTGCCTATGAACATGAGTTTAGGCACGGCTTTCAGCACGTATTAAACAGGTAAGTTTTACATATACTATAAAAGAAACCTTTCGTTTTTCCCTCTATATTTTATGTAAATTCCCATTTAAGCATAATGTTACCAAAAGCAGCAGGATTTTGGCATTATTGTAAATTTTATCAATAAACTACTTAACAAGTAAATAATAAAAATCTGTTTTATTCTAGAACCGAACTAAACATACGTTCCAATTACGGTACAGTGATAGTTTGGTTACAAAACGCTGCGGGCTATCATAAATGGGAACCAACAGAGGAGAGAGTACAGGCACTTTTGGAAGCCTTCAGGCCGGGAAGGGAAAGGGAACGGGATAGGCGGGAATTGTTGAGTCCCACGCGACAAGGTAGCACTCCAGACAAACCCGAGGTCATCGTTCATTAGGATTAATTGCGTCATAGTTTTAAGAAAAAGACATTCGATAAAGCTTGTACTTTTATAAAGAAATTCTTCAATTTTGATTTGAAGTAAGTAGGTACTGTACCAAAAATTAACTAGAAAAAAATCAACAAATTTATAATTGTTTTGTGAAGATTAAGGTTTAAATAGTTGGTTTTTTGCATTATTCAGAAAGTTGATTCAATTCAGCTACAGGTGGCTGGGAAAGCAAAAAGAAAAGTTGAATAAAACTTCTTCCCAAGACATATAGAAAGTTGATTTTCTATTCGTGGTGTTCTATTGAAAAATGTCTAGTTATTAATGGAATAGTTCTTATATATTTTGTATTTTCGAATCTATTGATTTTTGAAGTAAATTTATAAACGTCCCGTACTATTGGGTGATAAATTTCATATTGAAATATTAAATGGTGCATTTTGATTTATCTAAAAGAGGCATTTATTTTCTACAAGACGTTTATAATGGTCTAAGTGAATGTGCAATTTAACAATTATTATTTTTTTTGTGTTCCTTAAGCCTCAAGAAATGTAAAAAATACTCGTGTCGGTTATCGTTTATGGAGATAAAATAAATCAGGAGAAATTTACATTTAAGCATCACCTTCTTGATAAAAAGTACCTGAAAATTTCATGTTAAAAATCGACACAAAAATCGTTTCGTTTTTGTAATTAGAATTTCTATAGTTCATCTCATGTAAATAGGATATTTTATACATATGTAGGTAACAATTAATAATTATTTAGAATTTAAGCAGAGTTTTATCTTGATAGTTTGTAGATAGTTAATATAATTTTTCCTTTAGGTTTGTCGTAAAGAATGCCAGTTGCATTCATATTTTATTGTGTAATGCTTTGTAATTTCGTGGAAGAAAAAAAAAACAGATTAGTGGACATCTTATCAAAAATCACGATCAAATAATAGATTTGCTCCTGGGTTAACATGACAAATGCTGATTCTTCAGATGAGATCAGCAAGCAAAATAATGCTGGCAAAAAAGCTGAAGAAAATCTGTCTTGCCACTTTATTTTCTTCGATCGAGTTTACAGTATGCCTTCCTAAGATTTGACCCAAATCAAATTTCCTAACATTATTATTATCTGTTGAATATTGACCTTTTCACAAATCACAACTAGTCTGGCTACAATTCCACTACATTTTACAACCATTCAAAATGCAGTGCAGCTTATAGGTTGAAAATAATTTTGGTTGTGCAGATTTGCTCTACCAATTTATATAATTTCTAAAGATCCTATTAGAATGTAAACACATTAGGTACGAAAAAGGTTTATTGATGTAAGGTATTGAACCAGTGTGTCTACTGTAAGGACTTATTATCCCAACTTTTTTAGAATCTCGATTTTTGACTTTGTTTATCTGAATCGTTTTTTATTGTTCTAAAATACAGAATGTAAAAAATCTCTAATAATGGAATTTATGGAATTTGCTCAATGGAAATTTTACAACAAAGTAGGGCAAGAGATAAACATTTCACAAGGGCGATAAGTCCTTAACATGGTCACACTGTATAATATGGATTAATAATTATTGTTATTTTGTTTTTTCTGTGTCGCTTTTATTTTGTTACTTTGACTGCGTACCGTTTCCAAACATGGTCGACGTTTACAGTCAGTTTTCTAATGGTAAGCTTTTCGATATTATTTATTTTTCATAATCACAATTGGGTTTCAAAGAATCTGATACATCTCGTTAACCAAGGTTGGGAATTGTACGTGCCCTATATCTTTTGTAAAACCATACACTCTAATCCATAGCAACAGATTTATAACTCTATAAAATATAAACAATAAAATTGTTATTGAAAATATTTTTGTTGTTTTATTAGTAAGTAGTCGATCAAAACCTTGACAAACTCATGACCATCAGCTATAAAGAAATATAACTTGACAAATATGAGATTTTCTACCAAAACGGTTTTGATATTTTCACATATAAGTAGGCACAAAGAAAATATAAAACTATTGTCTATGTTTTTAATAGTCTCTGATACAAATTGATACAAGCCTCGATCCCCTATACTCGGGCTCCTAATAGGTATAGCTATAATTATTTTTTAAATATTTTTATTATATTATGGTGGCCAGGTGGTTATAAAAGAAATGGAAAATTGAATGAACCTCATATATCTACAGATAACAGATTTCGATTTACAATTTATTGCACAATTTTACCGGCGTGAAAAAAGGTGAAGGATTTCTGTCTGTGCGCAAAGCGCAAAGTCAAGGTTATTTAAACAAATGAGTATCTACTAACGAAACGAGTATCAGTAAAATAACAGCAGTGTCGGAAAAAAGATGTAAGTATATTTTTCAAATTATTCCAAAACCGATTACATTTATTAGCCTATCAATTTTTCATATCTTCTCTTTTTGTATGGTTTTTACAGAATAGTAGGTACATTTTTTGGTAGTACCTACCTACCATACAGAGGGTAATACTACTAAAATTGCTGGCAAAGGTCCATTTAACTTGGCAAGTACAAATAATTTTGAATTTCGGAGAAGTTTATCAACTAATTAGTAATATATCGTGTTTTTTGCAATTTTATACTTGTCATTAATGAAAAACAAAAAAAAATATTCGGAATAGAGGTTGTTATGCTCTTCTTATGGGATTTAGGTAGCTGCTATTTTTTTGACACTTGTTGATTTAAACTCCTATACTTCAAATTTGGTTCCGCAAATCGGTAGGAGATCAAGGGTTGAAATAATCAAAAAGCACAATGAAAATAAGGTTTATATCCTATAAAAATGTAATTTTTTGATGTCTTTGACCCTTCATCTCCTACCGATTGAGAAACCAATTTAAAGCATCAGTTCTAGATAACACGTACCTATATAGCACCCTCTTATAAGTTCCTGTGCTTGATCCGTGTTGAAAGTTTTTGATGATTCCTCATAATCTTGCTAGTTAAAAATGTATGTCAACAGCGAAATTGCTGAAATAGGGGGTCTATAAACCTAGCAGTTCCAAGGTGGAAAAAAACTTCGGGAGCTATATAATAATTAGGTGCTTTTTAGGTGCTAATTAGGGCCTCTAATAAAAATTAGGTGCTCCATTAGTTTTTGAGAAAATCAAAAAAAACTATAGGACTTCTAGGTTTATAAAAGCTAGCAGTCCCTTATAGTAAAAAATATTTTTTCTTTGTATCAGAATTAGGTGCTTTTTAGGTGCTCCTAAATAGTCCAAGAAAAAATAGAATTGATTAATTATTAATTGAGTTACAGATTTTTTTTTTTAATTATTAGGGGACTGCTGGTTTTATGTTTACATGTTTGTGTGTCAGAATGGCAAAAAAACTTCGGGATCTATATAATAATTAGGTGCTTTTTAGGTGCTAATTAGGCCCTCTAATTAAAAATTAGGTGCTCCTCTAGTTTTTGAGAAAATCAGAAAAAACTGAGGGACTGCTAGGTTTATGAAAGCTAGAAGTCCCCTATAGTAAAAAATATTTTTTCTACTTGCGTGCGCAAAGTAATCACTTTGCACACTCATTTGCGTGCGCAAAGTTGAACTTTGCGCACGGAAACTCTTTGCGCACTCATTTTTGTTACGCATAATTACCATAGTTATACTTGATTTTTCAATGTTTTGATGGTTTCTGAATAAACTAATATTCAAAATGAAGGGTTTCAATTGAAATTAACGCTTAGTTAACGCTTTCTATACGGGCCGTGTTTTTCATAAAGTAACCCCTGGTACGGGAAAATGCAGGAAATTGGATATATAAGGCACTCGTCAAAATATCCGTTTTTAGAAGACGGTTGTATACGGCATTCGTAAAGAAGTTAATAGTATTTTACATTATTAGCCAGGTAAAACAGTTTTTACTGGCGATTGAAGGAAATGACTAGCGAGCCGCCAGGCGAGCTTGTCACCTTCAAGAGCCAGTAAAAACTGCTACCTGGCGTATAATGTACAATAATTTATTTGTTACTCATTTGTAAAAGATATAGGGACAAATAAAAAATCAATACATAACAAAAATTTGAAATTTATATGTTTTTCCTTGATTTTTTCTCACAGAAGTTTTGGTAGTTGGTATAACTATGAGAATGATACGTTGTTAAGACGTTGTTTCTAGTTATAAATAGGTTTTTTGAAAGATTTCCATTTTGCAATTTTTTTCCAGAAATGAATTTATTACAAGATATTATTAATGAAGCTGCAGTCGTAGCCAACAGTTTATCACCAGAAAAGTCTCCCAGAAGGTACCTACAAGCAATTATTCTTGTGATAAAACCGATTTTTCAAAAATAAATAATTCTACTGACTTGTAAAAAGTTTTTACAGTTTAGCTGTCAATTTTACAAGTCAGTAGAGCCAGTAGCTCGTAAAAATCAATTTTCGCTGGTTATGTTTTGACTTGATAAGTGACGTTTTACAAATGAGTGAAATAAATATATTTTTTTAAATTTATTTATTGATAAATTTCACAAAAGTATTATTTCTAAAAAATACCTAATACATTGAAATATTGGTTAAAAAAAAACTTTATACAAATTAAGTAGAGGATCTCTTGGCTGTGTGGTACAGTTCAAAACATGGTACGACGCAAAGGCTTACATTGCATATATCACACTGATACGTGCTGTCCGTCCTCTTATTTTGCTTGGAGCAAACAACACAACGTCGACAAGGTTGGCGTGAAGTTTCTGTTGGTTTTGGGGCCCTCCTGATAAAATGCTTACCAAGAAGACGCAATGCGATGCTGGCGGATTCTATGACGTGGCAGAAAAGGAGATGCATTTCTACTTCCATATTTTTCAAATATTTGTCTAATCACGGCAAGCTGGAAATCGGCAATCGGAACTTTTTTCTTTGTAGCATCCATGAATAAGGCATGCGCATTAGCTATGGTAAGATCCAGAAAGTGAAAAAATAATTTTTTATACCATTTCACTGATTTTCTAGCAGCCTCAATAGAACTTATTATCATATCAGTCTGGTCTATTCCACCCATGTTACGATTATAGTCAATAATACACGCTGGCTTCATTATAGTCATCCCCGTTTCTCGATCCTTTTTCGTAGTAGTCGTCATTTCCTAGTTGTGCATTGTGGTGATCATATGAATTTCTTGCTTGTCAATCCACTTCAGTACTAAAATGGGACCACTGCTTTGAAATGTCATTTCTCCTCTTGTTAGTCTTTCTTCAAATTTTGGCATGTATTTTCTATTCTTTTTGATTGTACCGCAAACATAAGTGCCATATTTGTATAAAATATTTGCAAGTGTTGGACTGTTATACCAATTATCTAAAAAAAGGCATAATTTTTCTGCAGATATGGTTTTATAAGTGTCAGAACCACTTGTCCTGATTTTCCTGCATCTTTATAATTTGGCTGCAATGCATCTAGCTCGGTGCTCGCCCCGGTATAAATTATAAAATCCAAGCAATATCTAGTTTTAGAATCACAAATCATAAATAACTTTACTCCAAATCTATGGCGTTTAGAAGGGATATATTGCTTGAAGCCAAGGCGCCCTTTGAACAAAACTAGACTTTCATCAATACATATGTTTCTATAGGGTGTGAAACATGATTTGTACACGTTTCTCAAATATTCTATTGGATATCTGATTTTGGCAAGTCTATCATTATTTTTTGGGGCTTTATTGTCACAAAAATGTATCATTTTCATTATGAAAAAGAACCTGTCTCTTTTCATAAATTCTGTGAAAATCGGGGTCGATAGTAGAGGGTCTCTTCTTGCACCTTGACATTAGTAGGACCAATCCAAAAAATGAATATAATTCAACATATGTAACATCAGGGTTATTTTTATGTTTTCTATCAAAGTTTGGGTCACTCTCTTTCATGTAAACAATTTGCCTATTACATTCTTCAGTTATCTTTTCCATAAATTCTCTTGTAAAAAATATTTCGAAAAAATCAAGTTCTACAGATGATCCTAAAAGAATACTTGCGTAAACTTTAGAAAAATTGTTGTAAAAACAAACCTACCAGTTAATTGGTCCACATTGCATCCAGTAGTTTGGACATCAAACTCCGTTATATCAGGCTTCCAATTAGGATCATGTTGCCACACAAAATCTGCCATGCGCATGGGCTGATCATTTTCCAACTCTTCCGGTTCACTATCTATTTCCATACCACTTTCATTATCAGAATCGATATTATTCTCATGAATTGAAGCTTCGTCTTCGGTGTCGCTTTCCCCACTTGAGAAAATCTCAACTTCGTCGGCATCTTCCAAAAACAAATTTTCCTCAATAAACTGGAGCTGTTTATCTGTCAGGGGCCTCTTATTTGCATCCATTTTGCACGAACAAGCAAGAGCAACGTCTGCCCAGCGACTCTGTGTCTACGGGGCAACGGTAAGGGGAATGCAGTTGTAAAAAAAAAATGGCTGATTTCATTCATAAAATACCCAGCTGCGTGCGGAACTTTTTGGAAATGTTATCGTATTGCAACTCGTTCCTCGTTCACGAAAATCGACAATGACCAAACCGCCGCCACAGTACAACAAATAGTCGGATAATTACGGCACTCGTGTCCAGGCGTCTGAGATACATCGAATTCGTAAAGACTTGTTCACACTTGCTTTTTTCCCCACCATGCGATGTAGATTGTCATATTTAAACGGATAAAATCACCGCCGTATAGCTTCGGCACCCGGGCTTTGAGCAATTTGTGTTTTTCATTTCACGGCGGGCGTACTGAGACGGAGATATTTACGAATATATACGGCACTAGTATAGAAAGGGTTAACATGATGTTTCCTATCAAAGCAGGGCCGTAGCCAAGGGGGGGCATTGGGGGGCAATGCCCTATCTTTCAAATGATCATACCCTACCTTTAAAACACAACATGCGTTAAGGTTTTTCTAGGAAATTCAGGAATAAATAATCAATAGGCCTGAAATCGAGTAAGTGCGGGGATAAGTGTGTCCAAAAACGCCTAGATGTATGCAACAATGTTTGACGTTTGAAGTTTACACAGAGGAAGTTTTTCGTTTCGAAAGAGTGCGAATGCAATGATAATACACACTAGGTACTACACAGGATTGCTTATCAGCCTCGTTTATGGAAATCGCGCGGCCATATGGTGTAGCACCATTGACATCATCAACTACGTCGTCAGCTGTTTGCGCCAGCGGTCATAGTTTAGAATATTCCATTTATGATGAAAAATGTTATCTAATTTTGATTAGCATAATAGGCAAAGAGGAAGATGCAAACGAGATCTAAAAAACCGTTGTTTTATAGAATATTAATTAATGTAGTAAAACCAAGTATACATAAAGAGCCCGCGGAATCATATTCAGTGGTGCAAAAAACCCTACGTCAAGGCGATAAACGACACGCTGCCTACGTCATCACTGATTTTTTAGCGTGGTGGGGGGCTTGAGATTTGATCTACACAGGCCTTATTAGGATAAGCTATCCTGTAGTAGTACTTAGTGTGTATTATCCTTGGTGCGAATGGTCATAAGCGGCGCGCGGCGCGAGAATCAGCGCCATTTTGTTTACCTACTTTCCAGAAATGTCATTTATTGGAAAATTTGCCTTACCCCCATTTTGTTTACCTATAAAAAAATTAAGGGGGGGGGGCAAGTAGTGTATGCTCTATGTCAAATTTGTCATGCCCTATCACAAATTTGACTCTAGCTACGGGCCTGTATCAAAGGTGTCCAAATTGGACCACCCTGTACTGCTAGGAATTTGTAAAATTTTTGATATTTAAGAGACTCTCGTGAAAATATTCTTGCTGATTCTAGAAATTCCAGAAGATGTAAAAAGATATTATTTGGGGATTTAATTTAAAAGACATTCTGAGGAATTCTAGTAGATTTTTGAAGATTTTGATTTGATTGATATTTCTAATATTTTAACAATTCAAAGTTTACTTTTTTAAGATACTCGTAGAAAAAATATTGTTCCTAACACTTGCGCAAAGTGTCTTTCCCGCACTCAAAGCTTATCCGAACTCCGCTTCGCGTCGTTCGTCTAACTGCTTTTTCGTGCGGGAAAGTATCACTTTGCGCACTTGTTAGGAAAATAACTATTTTCAAAATTTTCTTTTGTATCAGAATTAGGTGCTTTTTAGGTGCTCCTGAATAGTCGAAGAAAAAATAGAATTGATTGATTATTAACTGAGTTACAAATGTTTTTTAATTATTAGGGGACTGCTGGCTTTACGTTTACATGTTGGTGTGTCAGAATGACAAAAAAACTTCGAGATCTTTATAATAATTAGGTGCTTTTTAGGTGCTAATTAAGGCCTATAATTAAAAATTAGGTGCTCTTCTAGTTTTTGAGAAAATCAAAAAAAACTGAGAGACTGCTAGGTTTATGAAAGCTAGAAGTCCCCTATAGTAAAAAATATTTTTTCAGAATTTTCTTTTGTATCAGAATTAGGTGCTTACCCTAGCTTACCTAGCAGTCCCTTAGTTTTTTTTGATTTTCTCGAAAACTAGAGGAGCACCTAATTTTCAATTAGAGGCCCTAATAAGCACCTAAAAAGCACCTAATTATTATATAGATCCCGAAGTTTTTTTGCCATTCTGACACACCAACAAGTAAAGGTAAAGCCAGCAGTTCCCTTATAATTAAAAAAAAAAATCTGTAACTCAGTTAATAATTAATCAATTTTATTTTTTCTTTGACTATTTAGGAGCACCTAGAAAGCACCTAATTCTGATACAAAAGAAAATTTTGAAAAAATAGTTTTTACTATAAGGGACTAACAACTAGCTTTCATAAACCTAGCAATCCCTTAGTTTAAATTTTCTCAAAAACTAGAGGAGCACCTACTTTTTAATTAGAGGCCCTAATTAGCACCTAATTATTATATAAATCCCGAAGTTTTTTTCCATTCTGACGCACCAACATGTAAACGTAAAGCCAGCAGTCCCCTAATAATTAAAAAAAAATCTGTTACTCAGTTAATAATTAATCAATTCTATTTTTTCTTGGACTATTTAGGAGCACCTAAAAAGCACCTAATTCTGATACAAAGAAAAAATTTGAAAAAATATTTTTTACTATAGGGGACTGCTCGCTTTTATAAACCTAGCAGTCCCTTAGTTTTTTTTTTTGATTTTTTCAAAAACTAAAGGAGCACCTAATTTTTAATTAGAGGCCCTAATTAGCACCTAAAAAGCACCTAATTATTATATAGTTCCCGAAGTTTTTTTCCACCTTGGGACTGCTAGGTTTATAGACCTTGAAATAGGTTGCCTCAACAAATGGGATTTTTTCATCAAAAATTAATGGTATTGTTATGAATATTTCACAGTAAAAATAGAATAAGCTGATAGGTAGGTAAATAACGTGAGGAAATTAGTTAGTTAATAGCTTTTAGGTATATCAAGGTGTACATACACCTAGGTATTTAAATTTGTTTTAAAAACAATAAAGTTATAAATTATTTATAATTTTTACGAGTATTAACAAATTGAATGCCATCTCAAGCCAAAAGGAAGAGATTCTCTGTAAACTTTGTGTGACATTATAAGTTCCGAGGAAATTTGAAATTTCTCTGCCTGAATAGTTCTGTATCACGTTTATTATAAACCACTTTTAAAACTCTATTAGACTATAATGATTCCAATCGCTGAAAATAATGACTAACTGTGAAGACTTTTTTAATTAAGATCTGGTTCATATTCTTCTATATAGAAAATCCTCTCTATGAAGACAAAGTAACAAAGCACGTTTCAATTTTGTCCCAAAAACTTCACGGTGTATAAAATTATCGCAATTTCTTAATTATTTTAGTCACTAAAAAATAAAAAACTTATTTTATTTGTTCATTTATGGTAAGTAAAAGACGTTCTTCAAATAATAATGTATTGTTCCACTTGATCCAATGTTTGGTTAGCTTTTACATCGTAATACCTACTAGGTACCTGTAATGAAATTTATAAGTAAATAAAATGAGTGAATTCATGCTATTATTATTAAAAAAAAAACAATTCTGACTAGTCATGTAAAATATTTTCAAAAATTAGACCTACTGCTTCTTTGCAAACTAAATTTTGAGAAGCCATTTGCGGACACATACATTTCTATTTTCAAATGTTCTTTATCAATGTATCGTGTTGATAGAATGTTTATTGTCTGGCCTAATTGGATCAATTAAACACTGGTGAATAGGCACACATTAATTTTTATCAAGTTTTTTTATTGAAGCAATGCCATCAAACTCTATTGATAAGTTTAACGACATATTTACTTATAAAATCACACATACTTACATTATAATCGCATATTTTATTTAAGTTTAGTTTAATCCCCATATACACCCAAGGACTTTTGACGCATATATTTCAGATTAAATCAATTTTTGTTTTAGTGGTGCATGCACGTGGCTATCAGTAATAGGAATATGATCCTTTTAATTATTAAGTTACAAAACAAAGTAAAATCTATAAACAATGGAAAGTGCTAAGGATGCTGAAGCAAGAAGGAATAAAAAAGGCGACAATCCTATAAATGAAGCTGGTTTTTTAAACAAATTGTTTTTTACGTAAGTACCTTGAGCTCTATCCCCCCAGCTTTTATTCATTAACTTTTCTTATATTGACAAATTCGTTTGGATTCTGTAACATTTTTCTCATAGAGTTTTTTCTTTCAATCTCCTTGAGTAAATACAATAGCACTATTTTTTTTATTAAGGCCTATAAACTTTTTCACGTGCGGTTCCATTATGATATTGCACAGTGCCTCATAAAGTATGTCTTTATTGTATTAGTACAATAATAAAATAATGTCAGTGACTCAGTGTCCTTTTTTTCTAAAATTTATTAAAAAAAAATTACCAGAGAAGACTCCTTAATAAATTGAAAATATGTTATTTCTTTTAGCTGGATGTTTCCTCTTTTTTACAAAGGATATAAAGAAGGATTGAAAGAAGACGATATTTATTCGCACCTCAAACAACACGATTCAGAATTATTGGGAGATCGTCTTGAAAAAGAATGGTTTAAAGAAATTAGAAGAAACGAGAAACATCCATCCCTATGGAGAGCTTATGCCAAAGTATTTGGCAGAAAATTTATTTTATACGGATCCTTAGTATTTGTTTATGAAATGATGAGGTGAAAATATCCAATTTAAACTAATATTTCATAATAATGATTTATTAATTTTTAGACTCTCACAACCACTGATTCTAGCAAACTTCCTCGAGTATTTCAATGCTAATACCAAAGTTACCTTGAATAACGCCTATTTATATGCGTCTCTCATATGTGTAACAACCATAGTGCAAATTTTCCTAGTTCACCATGCAATGTTCCATGTAATGCATATCGGTATGCAATTGAGAGCAGGTGCTACCGCTTTGGTTTATAGAAAAGCTATGAGACTTAGTAAATCGTCTTTGGCTGAAACTACTGTAGGTCAAATGGTTAATTTAATATCTAACGACGTTTCGAGGTATGAAAATTGCACCATGTGTACTAACGATTTATGGATTGGACCGATTCAATGTATTGTTTTATTGATTTTACTTTATCAGTACTCCGGATGGACCAGCTTGGTGGGCATTAGTTTATTGCTATGTATTGTACCAATACAGAGTAAGCTTAAAGCTTTATATTTAAAGTATTAATTTGAGAAACTGAAATATTTATTTTTAGTTTGGATGGGAAAGAAAACTTCTGTATATCGTTTAAAAACTGCCCTAAAGACTGATGAAAGAATTCGGCTTATGAACGAAATTATAAGTGGGATGCAAGTGATTAAAATGTACACTTGGGAGAAACCGTTCACAAAAATTGTGGAATATGTTAGGAGGTAATGCTCCAATTATTTGTCTGTCAAGCCTTTTTTATACAGATTTTTTCAGATTGGAAATGAGTGAAATCCGTAAAAACTCCATCCTTAGAGCCATCCACATTTCTTTTGACATGTATTTATTACGCGCAACAATTTTCATAAGTATCTTGGCATATATTTTAACTGGAAATACTCTCGACGCCCAGTATGTCTACACAGTTTCTCTATTTCATGAACTTCTGCGACAATGTTTGAGCTTTGCCTTTGCTCAGGGTATTACTCAAGCAGCTGAAGCAATGATTTCTACTAGGAGGATTAGGAAATTTTTACTTTATGATGAGTTTGTGCAAGAACTTACTTTGACGCCCTTTAGTGGTGATAAAAATGAGAAAAGTAATACAGGATCTTTACTGGTTATGGGGTCAGTCCCTGATAAGACAAAACCAATAGGGATATCATTGAAAAATGTCTCTAGTAGATGGATTAAGACGAACAGTGACTATGCGTTAGAAGGAATTGATTTTGAATTGTCTGATGGAAAAATGGCGGCAGTAATAGGTAAAAAAATTGATATCTCTTATTAAATTATAATTCGCTAATCATCGCATCAAGTAGCAAGACGAGTGTTTATTGTGGTTTGGTAATACCAGATATGAACTAGATAAATTGTAAAGGTCACTTTTGAATTTTAGGTACAGTTGGTAGTGGCAAATCAACTCTCCTTCATGTATTTTTAAAGGAACTGCTGCCAGTTGATGGCACAGTAAACGTAAATGGTATTATTTCATATGCTTCACAAGAACCATGGTTATTCGTTGGTAGCGTTCGTCAAAATATCCTTTTTGGACAAGAATTTGATGTAGTCAGGTACCACGAGGTGATCAGAGTTTGCGCCTTGGAAAGAGACTTAAAACTGTTTCCACATGGAGACCGCACAGTTATAGGTGAACGTGGAGTATCTTTGAGTGGTGGTCAAAGGGCTCGAATTAATCTAGCCAGAGCCATTTATAAAGAGGCTGATATTTATTTGCTCGACGATCCACTTTCGGCTGTAGATGCTCAAGTAGGAAAGCATATTTTCAACGAATGTATTAATGGTTACCTACAGGATAAATGTGTCGTTTTGGTGACGCATCAGCTGCAGTATTTGAACGACTGCGAAAAAATTTATTTGCTAAATGATGGGAAGGTTGAGCATTCTGGTAAATTTGATGATATTAAAAACGCTGGGAAAAAGTTTACGAATTTATTGGAAGAATTGAGAAGAATGGAAGAAGAAGCCAAAAAGGAAGCAGAAGAATTGAAGAAGAGAAGAAACACTGTATCAACAAGTGGGGGTAGGTAATAGGATGAAAATGCTATTGAAATTTTAATGAAATTAATTTTGTTGTATAGGTGATGAAGAGTCAAATGAATTAGAGGGACCTTCATTTGCAAAAGAAACAAAATTCGATGGCAATGTTACTTGGGACATGTACAAATTTTACTTTTTATCAGGTGGAAGTTCCTTGAAAATTATCTTTCTAGTTTTTCTTTTCCTATTTTCTCAAGCCTTGGCAAGTTATGTCGATTATTTCTTGAGTGTGTGGTAAGTTGATTCAATATTATATAAATTTATTGAGGTTTCATAATAATTTGAATAATTAGGGTGAATTTAGAAGAAATGAAATCGGAATGCAACATAACAGGAGAAGTAAACGATACTCTAATACAAAGTCTTGACAGTTCCCAATACACTGTTATACAGAAATTCTGGTTTAGGACTCTCACTGAGGACCTTTGCCTATACATATACACAGGCCTAGTTGCCATAATTGTGCCTCTATTTATATGGCTATACATATTTTTCTATAATTGTTGCATAAAGGCATCAATTAATCTACATAACAACATGTTTTCGAAAATTGTTTTTGCGCCTATGAGATTTTTCAATACAAACCCATCTGGAAGGATTTTAAATCGGTTTTCTAAAGATGTTAATTCGGTGGATGAATTTTTGCCAGTGACACTTTCTGATAGCATTAGGGTAAGCATAAACGCAAACATGATAATAGGAAATATTAAATCATTTATTTTTCAGATTGGTTTAATGATGACTGCATGCATCATTGTGGTAGCAACTGTAGTGCCTTTGATACTTGTGCCTACTGGATTTATATTCTTAGCCTTTTATCTTATAAGAGTGGTTTTTATAGCAACAACTAGGGACATTAAGCGATTTGAAGCCATAGGTTAGTATTTTTTGAGTATGTAATTATTTTGCTACAGGTTAAATAGCCAATACCTAATAGGAGGTGATGTCGCATTAATATTCCCTTTACTTACAAAAATATATAATAATTATTGGATTACTTACAAAATTCACTTGATTCAAATCAAACAACACTAAATTTTTTTTTTTCCAGCACGAAGTCCTGTTTATTCTCACCTAACAGCTTCTCTCCAAGGTTTAACAACAATCCGAGCGTTTGGAGCCCAAAATATTTTGAAAAAAGAATTTGATAACTACCAAAACAGCTACAGTGCAACTTCTTATATGTTTTTGGCCGCAAATAGAACTTTTGGCTTCTGGTTAGATCTCCATACTGCTGTTTTTGTGACATTGGTTACATTCAGTTTTTTGGTCTTTAAAACTGGTGAGGCTTCCTAATTAACATAAATATATAGAATAATGTATTTAATGTGTTTTTTTACAGATTCTTTTGGCGGTAGTGTTGGCCTAGCTATTTCTCAATCAATTAATTTGGCTGGTTGGTTCCAGTATGGTATACGTCAATGGAGTGCGATGGAAAACACAATGACTTCAGTAGAACGATTGAAAGAATACGCAGAAGTAACTCCAGAAACAGACTCGCAAACGAAAGAACCTTCAAAAATTTGGCCAGAGAACGGATACGTTCGATTCGTCAATTTGTGTCTTCGATATTCCAAAGACGATCCTTATGTACTTAAAAATTTGAATTTCGACATTCAACCGAGAGAAAAAGTTGGCATTGTTGGGAGGACCGGTGCTGGAAAATCGTCAATTATCGCTTCCTTGTTCAGGTTAGCTGATATTGAAGGAGATATTTTGATTGACAGTGTTGACACTAAAACTATACCTTTGAACCGTTTGAGGTCAAGTATATCGATTATTCCACAAGAGCCTGTGCTGTTTTCTGGTACTCTAAGGAAGAATTTGGATCCGTTCGATGAATATAGTGATGAGGTTAGTGCTAATTCAAGAATTTAATTTAGAAAATGGTAAATATTATAAAGTGTGAAAAGAACTCACTAGATACACGATTGTTAAAGCTTTTTTCTAAGAGGACATAATATTAAGTATTTTGAAAATATAACTATTCCTCCACGCGCTTAACAGTTCATCAAGATCTATGGGTATTATCGAGGGTGTTATAGTCACATGGTAAAAAGTGTAAAATTTCATCAAGTGGGTGTATACCTTAGCCATGTTGTTTATGTATAATAAAAACCGAATGGGAGCCACGAATACTCTTGCCTAAAACCATAAAAATCTGGCTTTTGCAACTCCCTATTTTTGAATTTTCTTTCAAGATACAGGCTAAAAATTTTCCTAAACTAATGCTCAGAGCTTCAATTCTCTTACCAATTCTCTTACCTCATTCAAAAGATAGGGAATGTATCAAAATCGTTGTATAAGAAAAATGCAACAAGCTAAATAGGGTCAAACAAAGCAGAAATTTAAGCTCAAAAGATGCATTCATGGGAATTTTTGTCCATAGTGATTAGAGTAACTTTGTTAATTGTAATAGATTTTTTGTAAACATTTTTAACTTTTACTAACCAAGCTGACAACTGAACTAGTTCTTTATTGTCCTGATAATTCGTACCATACATTTTTAGAGTCTTTGGAATGCTATCGAGGAAGTCGAACTTAAATCCGCTGTTAGCGATCTTCCTCACGGTCTCGAAAGTAAAATGTCAGAAGGTGGATCAAATTTCAGCGTTGGTCAAAGACAGTTAGTTTGCTTAGCGAGAGCTATTGTACGTAAAAACAAAATCCTAGTACTAGACGAAGCCACTGCCAGTGTCGACCCTCATACAGACAGCTTAATTCAAACTACAATACGAGAGAAATTCGCTAATTGCACGGTGCTAACGATAGCTCATAGGCTGCATACCATAATGGATTCAGATAAGGTGTTGGTAATGGATGCTGGAAGAGCTCTCGAGTTTGATCATCCTTATGAATTACTTCAGGATAAACGGAGTATTTTCTATTCACTTGTAGAACAAACTGGAAGGGCTATGGCTAAGAATTTGTTGGACATTGCTACCAAGGTAATTGGTTTTTGATTAGGCTTATTTTTCGAAATTTTCTAATTGACTTTATTCATTCTAGACCCACACAATGCGTGATAAAAAGAACTTAAAATAAGTTAATTCAATGAGAATAAGTTTATATGAAAACTGTGATAAATGTGTATTATATTTTTTATTACAAGTATTATAGTTGAAAATATATTTTTATTTTTCAGCAAAGCTGTGTTTTTTTTTTCTTCCAAGATACTATCCCATTATTATCAATGAATAGACATTTGAGTGTGTATCTATATTATCACTTATCACAGCCCGTTTAACAGGAGTGATCTGGCTAGGGATTGTAGCTTAGGGAGTTTTTATACTAGTTGAGAGTTACTCGCTTAATCGCATAAAAAAATGTATATTGTAAGATATGTCCTTACATAGTTTTCATCCCTATAATGATTCAAGCATCTTGCACAAATTCCACACAAAGTGCAAACCCCTGTAATGACTACAGAAATTCTAATCAAGAATAGCAAGGACTTACCAAACAACCATCCCACGAGAGATCATTACTTAGACAGCACAACTAGAAACTTCATTTAAAATTTATCTGAACATCGATATCCAGAAATTATTGAAAGCCGATACCCTATATTGACTAATACATTGGAATGTGAATAAAGCAAAAGTTCATGGACCTTTTTTTTAATGCTCTCAACAATTAACATTCCAAAGGAGCCGAAAAATTGCTAAAAGGATCAATAAATCATGCACGAGCCTATATGATGATACCCACTTAACAAACCACTTAGCGACGCCGACGCCCTTTATAATTGATTAAAAGGGGACCAAATACACTAATTGATCGGATGATTCAACCACGAAAAATCAAGGTCAGAAACAATAAAGAAATTCAAGACAATGGAGGGACCAATGATATAAACATGCAACTTTGGCAGGAGAAAATCAGTGTTCGAGAAAGAGCGAGTAAACGGGCAGAACTACGGCGTGAAAGACCAGACTCGGTTGAGTAATCAAGAATTAAGTAGTAATCGAGAATCGAGAGAGTCAGAAAGTCAGAACTACGGCGTGAAAGAGTTGTCGAATTAACCGAGAGAAGAAGCACGACGTGAAATAACAGCGCGAAAATATTCGAGTTTTTTTTTATTAATCGTTCATAATTAAAGTAAATTCCTTCGACCAATAAGATTTCCAAGTAATTAAGTGTGGCCAGCAGTAAATATATTATTGTTAAATGTAAGTAGAGGTTTTTTATGTTCAGCCAGAAATTGTGAAGGCAAGAGTGTCAGTTGAGTCAAACTGTAAATTAAAATTTTACTAATCATATAAATTTTTTTATTAAAGATTGAATAATTTTATTGTAGGATTATTTATTACCGACGCCTGTTATTTAATAACAAGCATTATTTATTTTAATAAAATAAACTTTATTTTAATTGACCACAATATTTCTGTTTTACTCTCTACCCCCGAATAGGACTCACTTTAAACTGTGTTTCCACTCAGAAATTAAAGTCACCGCTCGTCAATTTAACATCTTGTCAAGTTCCTGAATTTGGGGTCTCACACGGAAAAGAATCCCTTCAATATAATGTATTGTAAAAAATACATTATAGCATGTAAAATAATTTTATTACGATTTATCAACCTTGTATAATATTAATAATCACATATTTCTAATAAACGAAATAATAGCAATGTACTTATAATAAATGATATAAAAAATTATAGTAGAATCTTTTGTCATAAAAAATGGGGTGTGGTTTTCATTATAAAATATAATAAATTAGGTGTCCTATTATACCTGTTTGTTAAGTCTATGACCCATTTGCTCATAGTAGTACAGTTTATAATACATAAAAACTAAAATATTCAAATTTTACCAACATCAGTTTAAAAAAGGTAAAATCTTATTTCATAAATTTTACTAAAAAAGATTATACTGTTTACGCACCCAAAATTTGTACACCTTTTGGGATATGCTTTTGCTTGCTTATTGCTTTAGTCTGCACAGAACTTTCAGAAGGGAATCGCGCGGCATTTCTTCATATTCGTACTTCGTTATTGTGTCTTGACTGTCCTGTATCCTTTTCCCATGGAAAGTATGAAGAAGATATTGGAAAGTTTTGACCTTTCCACATTAAGAAACATTTGAATGTAAGTATCACTGAACCATATAAAATGGGGTGTATATTTTTTCAAATTTCAGTTAATTTGAAAAGATTATAATTTTCAGCTAGGTGATCTAGAATTTGGTTTAGTTTCCCGAAATAAGGCCAGTAGAGACTTTGCCAGCAAATACTGTGACGAACTTTTCTATCGATCCAAACTGGGTACCTGATACGCCTCATTCTGAGGAACAACGACATCCAGGATCCACCTCCAGAAAAAAAAGTAAGTTCTTGATTTTTATATGTCTACAAATAATATATAAGTACCTAATTTTGAAAATTGTTGCTAATAGTCACTACCAAAATACAAATAGGATAATAACTTGAATATTTTTATTGTAAATTTCAGGCTTTTTTAGAGGATCTGGATCTAGTTCAACAAGTAACATCAAAATAATGGATTGTTTGATGAACATCGATTATGTATATCAAAATGGATTTTTTTTCTGAATGATAGGTACCTACCTCATCAACGAAATATTTCTGAATGATACACAGAACATTGCCTAGTTTCAACATTATCAAATAATGATTCAATATTCTCGAATTGTTTACCTTATTGTTACCTTATTATATACATATACCTCATACTATATGCAATAAAAAGTGATACCGAAAAATTTGTAAAAAATTGTTTTATCTATTATATATGTACCTACCTTAGAAATTATGAAAAAATATAAAATTTAATATAAAAGTGTAGTACAATTTATTATAAAACTATTGTATTATTTATTATAAAATTATTATATTATTTATTATAAAACATACTACACTTTAAAATCTACGTATTATTGATCTAATAGAACTCCATTCTTCAATTATATTACATCAAGTAATAGACTTTATAGTAAATTTATTGTCAAACATTTTAAAATTTTATAATATCGGTAATGAGAAAGGATACTTATTCTCAATAGAAAAACTTGTATATTGATTATTAGAAAAATATTGTATGTCTTATTATCTTAGGTAATCGTCCCATATGGATTAATATTTTTTAATAAAGCATATTATATTTTTAATATCGTTCAATATATAATTTTTTCCGTGCACAGCCACATATCACTGACTTTTCTCTAGCTCTAATTTACTTTTTTTCTAATTTTTCTATTCTCAGGGAAATTCATTTCCAGAATTTTTGAAGAGATAAAGAAACATCGAAAATTTGATGGTAGAGAAGGTTACTCATGTTTTATTTTCAACCTACGACGTGTTGTTGAAGATGCGTTGAATATATAACCAGTAACGATTTAGTTGCTGCTGAGATTCTTCCTGGATTTTATTGAGAAGAAAATCAGACACAAAGATGGAAAGACAAGGAAGATATACTGCGTAAAATACTCTGCTTCTTTGCAAAATAAATTCAGGGTGTCCTTGTTTGTTGAAAGCCAATTGCAGACTCATGCATTTCTATTTCCAAATGATCTTTATCAAAGATAATGATTAACCAGTTGAATAGCGTAATTGGATCACTTAAACACTTGTGTATCCGTATCGGCATGCTTTAGTTTTTATCAGTTTTGCATAAAAGCACTGCCATTTAAATCTATTGATAAGTTTAATAAAGAATATATTTACTTATAAAATCACCAAATCATTTATTTGTATAATTATTAATTTTATCATCACATATGTTATTTAACATTGATTTAATCTTTATAAAACCCCCAAGGACTTTTGACGCATATATTTGAGAAAATTTTAGTTTTTGGTTTTAGTGGTGGATGCAAGTGGCTATCAATAGGAGTATGATCCCTTCAAAACATTCTCGTTGCATACATACTAGAGTAATTATTAAATTAAATTATATTTAACACATCTGCCGAGTTAAACAATGGAAAGTGCTAAGGATGCTGAAGCACGAAGAAATAAGAAGGGCGTTAATCCTATAAATGATGCTAATTTTTTGAACAAATTGTTTTTTACGTAAGTAGCTCGTGCTCTATCCCTATAAGCTTATTGAATAGTTTCATCATAAATCAAGCAAACCTATGCCTGTTTAAAGTCTTGTATGTCATTGATCCAATAATAAGGCTCGTTAATCCATAAGTTGACTACTTCAGTAATAGTTACATAAATGATATTAGGGAATCCGAAAAGACTCCCTAAAAAATGAAGATGATTTATTTTTAGCTGGATGTTTCCTCTTTTTTACAAAGGATATAAGCAAGGATTGAAAGAAGACGATATTTATTCGCATCTAAAACAACACGATTCAGAATTATTGGGAGATCGTCTCGAAAAGGAATGGTTCAAGGAAATTAAAAGGAACGAAAAACATCCATCTCTATGGAGAGCTTATGCCAAAGTATTCGGGAAACCATTATTACTTTGCGGAGGCTGGGTATTTGTTTATGAAATGATGAGGTGAAAAATATCCAATATTAACTAATATTGCATAATCATACGTAATTTATTAATTTCTAGGCTCACACAACCACTGATCCTAGCAAACTTCCTCGAATATTTTGATGTTAATACTAAAGTTACCTTAAATAACGCCTATTTATATGCTTCTCTTATATGTATAACAAGCATCGTGCAAATTTTCATAGTGCATCATTCAATGTTCCATATACTGCACATCGGTATGCAATTGAGAGCAGGTGCTACCGCTTTGGTTTATAGAAAAGCTATGAGACTTAGTAAATCGTCTTTAGCTGAAACTACTGTGGGTCAAATGGTTAATTTAATATCTAATGATGTTTCGAGGTATGAAACTTGCACCTTGTGTACCAACGAATTGTGGATTGGACCGATTCAGTGTATTGTTTTATTGATTTTACTTTATCAGTACTCTGGATGGACGAGTTTGGTAGGCGTTATAGTATTGCTAGGTATTGTACCAATTCAAAGTAAGTTTAACAGATTCATTGAAGTATTTGAGAAACTTTATAATTAACATTTATTGTTAGTTTGGATGGCAAAGAAAACTTCTGTATATCGCTTTAAAACGGCCCTAAAGACTGATGAAAGGATTCGGCTTATGAACGAAATTATAAGTGGGATGCAAGTGATTAAAATGTACACTTGGGAGA